TCCCGGCCGTTTGGGGCTGCCGTACCCCCGGGTCCCGGCTCACACGGATGCCCGGTCCCGGCCGTTCAGGGCTGCCATACCCCGGGTCCTGGCTCACACGGATGCCGGGTCCCAGCGGTTCGGGGCCGCGCTCTCTCCGCTATGCCGTGCCCGGCAGAGCAGGGACCCCGCGCGCACGTGCATCCCCTCCACCCCTCCCGCTCCCTTAAAGGGCCCGCAGCGCCCCGCCCGCCGCCCGCTGGGGCCGCGCTCACCGCCGCCCGCTCCCTCCCCTCCTCGGGCGGTGGGTCCGCCCGCGGGGCACCCGCTCTCCCCCCCCACGGCCGGCGTTGGTTCGCTCCGCGGGGCGGGGCGGGGCCGCGGCGCCTCCCCCGACACGGGGCGCCGGTGGGAGCGGGGCGGGGAGCGCCGCGCTGGGGGGGAGATAAGCGGCGCCGAGCGGCCGGGCGGCGCTGGATGGAGGCTCCCGCCCGCCGGGACGCCCGCCCCAGCCTGGAATGTCCTGGCGAGCCGCCGCCGAGCGGCACCGGCACCAGGACCGGGACCAGGGAGGGGGCGCGGCGCAGAGGTAACGCGCGCGCTTCCCGCCGGCGGCGGCGGCGCTGAGGGGGGCGCGGGCCGGGAGGGGCGAGCGCGGCTCCTCCGGGAGGGGCGAGCGGAGCGGGGCCAGCGCAGGTGGCCGCTCCTGTCACCCCGCCGGGCTCCGCTCGCTGTGCGGGGCTGAGCCGGTGCACGGCGGCGCTGCCGGGAGCGGGACGAGCCCTCCGAGCCCTGCCCGGCTCTGATTTATGGGCTCATTTCGCTGGGAACGCGCCTCCGCTCCGCTCTATTTGTCATTTAAACGCTGCTCTGCTTGAAGGAGGTGCCGTAGGGGATGGGTTTGGGGTCGCGTCCAGCCTCTTAACCGCCTTAAAATGGTTAATCTCGATGTTTTTAACCTGTAAGGTCACTTTTGTCTGCAATTAGAGCGGTGGAAAGTCAGTCCCTAAGGCAGGAGGTGGTGTGTGATGCCTGAGGTCTCTGGCTGTAAAGCATCCTGACATCTTATCTCTGTTATTATTATTTTTATTGCATTAAGCTGCCTACCTTCTTAAAGCCACGCGATTCTTGAATTTTAAATTACTTTTCCTTGCTTTGTCTGTCTCTTTGCCAAAAGCAAATATAAATTATATAGTTCCTGACTTCTAATGGAAGAACTTTCCAGTCGTCTATCCCATGCTTCCAATACCGAAGTTTTTTAAACTAAGAGGGATGTGTTTTTCAGCCGTGACACACTGTCGGGCAGAAAACGGGCAATGTTTATTTTGCTCCCGCCTCGTAACTGTGTAAAGGCTTGGTGAAAGGGTAAATGTGATGGCTTTATGTAGCTTTTTCTTTTTAATTATTATTTTACTGCTTTTTCGCTGCCTCTGGGAAGGAGTAGTCGCGCCGAGCCTGCGGCTGTAAAGCTGTCAGCTCTGAAGGGCTGTTTACTCAGTGAGTTGTATCTTTCACACATGCACCAGAAATACAATTTACCAACCCAAACACCAGCCGCGGTCACCGAGGTTACCGGCAGCGTGGAAACTTTGGCTCCCGGGGGTTTTATCCTTCGTGGCCCGGCGTTTTCCTTGAACAAAGCAGGTAATCCTGGGGTGCTGGGAGCCCGTTTGCTTTTCTCCTCATCTCCCAGGACCCGGGTGTTTTGACAGTTGCGATTTATGGCATGTGCGTAGCTCTTTAAGGAGAAAATGTGCCTTTGTGGTAGTGGTTGCTGCGGGCGATGGCCAGCTCCTTCTATATTCCAGAAATTCTCAGTGAACGTTTCCCGGCACAATTTCTTAACGCTTTTCTGTTGAACTTGATATTATTTACCTTAATTACAGCCGGCATGCTTTTATTCCACCAAATTGAAATAGGTGTCGAGAGCATGAGTCAAACATATTGAAACCAAGCCCTGCTTTTTCAAAGCAGCTGCAAGCCTATCTTGTGGGGAGGACTTGGTTATGGAGTGATTAAAAAGAAATAAGTATTTTTGACCTGTATTCTGCTTTCCATAAGAAGAGGGATGCCTCTGATGGGCTTGGTCTGCATCCCAGAAAATCCCCAGTTTCTGGAGAGTCATAGGTCTCTTGTGTTTTAAAACTGCTGGAAGCTGGGCTCTGATAGAAGATGAGATCCACTGAGTTACCTACCATGTTAAAAGGGTTTGTTTTTTTTTTCTCCTCCTCAAGGGGTAGGAAGTGAGATGGGAACTGCTGCGGTGTGGAGGGATTAGTAACTCACCCGAGGATGAGCGCGGTGGCTTTGTCGCCTGGATTAAAGTGATTTACACCCTTAAGCTGCTCCGAGTGCTCGTAAACAGCCGTGCCCGAGTGTGCAAGGTGAAGTGTGGGCGGGCAAGCTCGGGTGCACCGCGGGAAGTAGCTTGAGGGGTTGGTTTTTGCCATCCTTCGTGCGGTCTTGGTGATTTTTTTCATCCTTTTTCTCTAGTGGACGGACACCAGCTCTGCGCTCTTTGCAGAGATGCCATCGGGATGGTGGCAGTGGGGTTTGGGGTGTCCCCCCCACCCCCACGTGTGCCCCCTCTGCTGGATCTCTGGTGCTAAAATTTTTGGGTTTTACCCCGAAACTGAGGAGGGATGAAAAAAAGCCCTGCAAGGAGAGGCCTGACTGTGCAGGGCAAGTCCCACCAGTGCTTTCATTATCTCAAGGTGTGCTGTAAGCCCATAAATGAGGCTCCTGCTTACTTTGGCTTGCTGGTGTGCCAGAGGAATAAGGCAGCTGTGCTCTGACTTCAGGTGATGTCACTTGAGGATTTTAACTGTCAGAGCTTAAAAATACCCTGGCTTGTTTAAAGACTGCTTCTGCAGATGTGGAAATGGGGAAGCAAAGCAGTGGATTGTGAGTGCACAGCCACGTCAGGGTTCAGCATCTCATAAATCCCCTTCTGCTTGTCCCACAGCAGACCTGCTCTGCCTAACGAGGCCTCGGGTGTACCATGGCCAGGACATTAATTGGTGGGTGCCCAAGATGGGGCACTACCATGGACTGCAAAGTCTCAGTGCCAAAAAGCTACCTGGGAAGCATGTGATGGTTGAATCGTTTCGGGGATAAATAAAATAAATATATAAACAGTCAGCAGCACCTTCTCTCATACAGTTGTTGGTGTGACTGGGTGTGTGCAGGAGCTGCTGCTGTGATTTCAGGTTGTTTGCAGGGCTGGGTGTGAGGAGCTGTGGGTCAGGGGCTGATCTCTAAGTGTTTGTTATGTGCACATAGAATGAGTTCTATTGAAAAGGTTCCCTGCAGGTCATGTGGGCTGTTTCTAGTTCTGTGTGTAAAAAGGCATTGAACTTCATCTGGATTTCCCATATCATCCCCCAAACTCACTCTTCACACCTTCTCCAAGAGCTCTGCCTCCTCTCTTTCTGCCAGGCCTTTTTGCCTGTGGTGGAAAACCTCCTGCTCTGCATCTTCCTTGTTCCCATGTCCACAGATGTGACTCTTGAGGGGTTTCATTGCAGTGCTGAGGTCTTGGCATACAATCCTATGCAAAATGACATGAAAATGTGGTGAACCTGTTGGTGAGCTTCCACGAGGCTTTGAAACCTTTGGTTTAGTACCAGAAGCTCTGAGATTGAGCAGGTCTTCACCCACAAACCTGCTGGGATTGGGTGTCTCAGGGAATGTTTTCTAAGGAATTGCTTTAATCCACAACTCGGGAACCTGCTGAGCGTCTTTTGTTAGGCAACGTCTCATTTGTATAAATTAATTGATACTGTAAACTTGCCCTTTGTATGTCGAGTCAGGTTTTTGTCTCTTGCCTTGCTTATGAGCTGCTGACTAGTGAGTGCTCCCTTGAGCTGAGTCCTGCCCCTTCCTCCTCACTTCATTGTTTTGATGTTAGTTCTCTGGTTTTTGGTGTTTCAATGGGCTGGGGAGCTTCAGAGCCAGTTGCTATCTGCAGCTGGGGTGAGACCGAGCTAAAAGCCTTGTTTCAAGTGGTCAAATTTCCTCCTTAAATGGGAATTTGCAGCTTGCCTTGCTTGACTCTTAAACCTGGTACATGGATACCAAACTGTGTTCTCTGTCCACTGTTCTTGCTATTTTGATCTGTTTTGTTGTTTGGGTTGGTACTTGGTCAGTTCTCCAGATGTTTTTCCTTTCCTATTCACTTTCTGCTCTCCTGGAGCCCTCCCTGAGCAAACCCTGCTATTTTGTGTTTGTCCCCTTATCCTACATCATTTGCTCTGGGATGGTGTTTGTCTTTGGCAAAGTCAGCAAAAACCTCTTTTCTGTATTACTTTGGCTGGTGGGAGGCCTCCAACTATGCTGGCCCAAGAATTTCGAGACCAGATAGTTTCCTCTTTGTGTATGTGTGTATATATGTTCACTTTTTTCAGTTGGGTGTTCTTCCAGTAATTTCCTTGGTAGATGGCTCAGTACAACTTCCAGGGCTGAGTGTGTCAGAGTTTTCCACTTACATTCCCCAGCTCACTTCTCCCTTTCTGCTGGGGATGGTGATTCTCCAGTGACAGCGCTCACTTGAGGGGAAATGCTTGTTCAGCCTGGTAAGGGATTGAGCCTTGTACATCCAGACCACCTGCCATTTCCATTAAGCCCATACTCATTCTTTCTGTGTGAGAAATATCTGCTGTCTTTCAACAGGAGGGGAAACAATCATGTAAGGTGGGTTGTTTTCCCATTTTCCATACCTATGAGATGTCTTGGAGCTCTTCTAGCCAGGTGGGACTATTTTTTTATTTTTTTTTCTTTTTCCCCCCCTTTTTTTTTTTCCCCCTCCCCAGCTCCTTGGGCGCAGTTTCACGTTACAGCTCCATCTGAGGACTCGCTGCTGCAGGAGGTGGCAGGTACATTCCTGCCTCCTCCCTGCTGCGGGAATCCAGCACTGGAGCAGCCGCAGGGGAGTGACTCCAGCTAACCCTTCAAAAAAAAAAAAAAAAAGTACCCAAGGCCCAAACTTTCCTGGATCTTGCCCTGCAGTTAGAGTTGCTAAATCTTCCACTTGGATGACTGGGAAGGCCCTGGGGGGCTGGAGGGGCTGTTGGGGGGGATGGCCCCTTTTGGCAGCACTGGCTTCTAAATTGGCTTTGCTGTCTCCTGATCCTGTGTGCTCACTCTGCTGTTGAGCCAAGGGTGGGTGCCTTGCAGAGAAGGAGGGGTTCTGGCCAGCTCCCTGCATCTCCTGCCTCTGGAAATGCCCAGTTGAACCAGTCCAGCTCACAGAAACAGCACAGGATAAAGTAATTCTCTAAAGCTCTGAGTGAGCAAGACCAGCTTGGCTGGGGTATTGCCATCAGCTTGGCAGCAGGAGGGAGCTGGGGCAGGGGAGCTGAGTGTGCTGGGGAAGGAGAAGGAGAACATCCCTTTGGCAGTGGCTGAGAGGTGAAACCACACCTTTGGCCTCACCTGTCTCTCTGATCATGTCTTTGATTTATACCCTGAGTTCTGCTGTTTAGTTTTCCCTGCAGACTCCAACCATTGAATCTGATAATGAACCAAGTGGTTGAGTCTTATTTGTTTAATTCAAAGAGAAGTTTAATGCTTCCTGCCTCGCAGTGTATGGAGGCTCTGCCTTGCAGCCCGTGGTTTTCTTTGCAGTGAACTTGTAAAGTGCCAGGACAAGGAGTAAAAGGCTCGAGCTGTGAGCAGCTCGTCATTGAAACAGTCTTTGCAAAGAGGCTGAGCACCACAAATGTACATTTTTGGAGGGGTTTGAGGGTGTTTTGTCTCTGCAAAAGTGTTTGAGGGTTGTGTTGACTGTGAAGTATTCCCTGCCAGCTCACCTTCTGTGTGCTGGTGAGCCCTGGGCATCGTGGGCTGCCAGCTCCAGCCAGAGGGGAGCTGTGGGGAGCTTCTCAGCCCCCCTTAATCTTAGGTGAAGAACAGACAGGTCCTTAATGTCTCTGTAATATCTGTGGCATCTGCTGAAGCACCGAAGTACAGACATGCTGGAGATGTCCAACCTCCTGTTACTGCTGTTATATTCTGTGTGGGCACCTTGTGTCTGAATGTAGCTGGAGATGCTCCTGCAGGGGGATGGCACCAGGTGGTTGTTTCCGACTCCCCAGTGAATAAAAGAAACCATTTATCTGGGTAAAAGACCTCACTCTAAATAATCTTGCAAGAAATTAATCTTTTTTCCATGCCCGTTTGGAAGGTAAGGACCCAGGTGACTGCTCGTCTCCTGGGGAACAAACAACAAGGGAAGGGGACAGTTCATGTGGCCCCTTTATGAAACAAGCAATGATTGTTTGGAGTTGAAATCCCCTGCTTGCTTCCAGATCAATCCACTTGAAGTTACTGTAGACAGGTGGTATGTTTTCAGTTTTTAATTTCTTTTTTCTTTTTTTTTCCTTGCTTGTTGTTAGTTGAGAGCTGATAGACCGGCCCAAATAAGGCCATGAGAAAGGCTGGCCATTTCCAGGAGGATCCACAGACAGTCAGTGCATGACTTGTTGCCTTTATCTCTGAGATCAGGAGATTCCTTTGCAGTGATGGATTAATCCACCCTTGAGTGAATAATATAACTGAGAACAAGTAGGAGCCAGCGCTCCAAACAGATGATTTGTTCAGTACGTGTGTGCCTCCCCTCCCCCTCTGAAAAGCATCTTTCTTCACCGTTTCATTCAGCCTGTTGAAACCTCACAGCAACCTGTGTCTGCAGAGGGCCAGGATGGGGCTGTGCCAAAGGCCTCTGCTCCCAGGTGCAGGAGAAGATAATCCAGGATGGAGAGAAGGTGCCTGTGGGCTGCTGGGGCTGTGATGTCACCTGTCTGCTCTGGCCATGACATCACCTGTCTGCACGTTCTCCTGGCTCTAGGTGAGAGTGTTGATGCTGGCACCTGCCCGGGGTGAGCTTGCACAGCTCCAGTCCCTCGTGTACCCCAACATGAGGCAGTGGGCTCTGTGTCCAGGAGAAATCGTGTAAAGGAGCTGGAATATTGGGGTTGGGGGAGTGAACTCGCTGGGCTTAAGAGCAGTGTTGGCTCTGAACAGAAATATGATATTTAGGAAGTTGTGCCAGGGCAGATCTGTAACTCATCAGCAGAACTGTGGCTTCTGGAGCTGCTTGGAGGTGTCCTGGAGCTGGACACCAGAGCCCTTCAGTGACACACGGGCAGTCCTTGTTAGCACACCTCCAGCAGGACACAAGGCTGGAAGGGAGTTGTGCAGCTACAGCAATGGAATTCCTGTAGTGAGATCTGTTATCATCCCTGTGGATACACTGGAATAATTCTTTGACAGCTCATATGCTGGGTCTTGTTGCTTTGACACCTTGGAATGCATCAAGTTCTGCTGCTGTTGATAGACTCAGAGTGTGAGATGCCTGGGGCTCCTCCTGCTCAGGAACCCCTTCAGGCAGTCACAGTCTTACTGAGAAAAGCTGCTAGCTCAAGGTCAAGTTGGTGAAAGTCCCCAGCTTTGGCTTTCCTTGTGTCATGAGTGCCAGTAGCCTTGCCTTGATCCCATGCTCGCTCCTGGCATGTGGGATTGGAAGCATTGGTGGCAGCTTTCAGCTGCGTTTTGGAGAGTTTCTGTGCTCTGTGGAGTGAAGATAACATAAAATGGCATTTTCCCTTTGGAGAACAGGCTTTGCTGCTGTTGGCTGTAATAATTTCTGGGAGCTGAGGAGTTTTGCTGTGTAATGTTCCAACTCCATGTAGATTAAATGTATTGCGGAGTCAAAATAAACAATAGCATGTGGTTTTCCTTTGTTCCCCCCCTTCCCCACAATAAGAGTTCACTAAAGTTCTTGAATTAGGGCTCTGCGTGCCACACGCTCGAGCGTAGGCTCAAATTTTCATAAAGCTTGCTGAGGGCTGTTACTGCTGGGGAGAGCTTTCGCCTTTGGGATAGCTTTGGAAATCTCCTTGTTTCTCAGGAGCTTTTTCCAAAGGTGTGTTTCAGATACTTGTTGCCTTAAATGCTTTGCAGTGACAGTGTATCACAGCTCGATGGAGATTTGAGACTCCTCTAATAAAATGCAGGAGAAGGAGGAAAACCCCGAGGGTTTTTTGGAACAGAAGATGTTTTCTGTTCCTGCCACTAATCTCTGTTGCAGAATGAAATAGGAATGTATACTTTAAATCTCTGTCAGGGTGTAGAAGGAAGCTGGCAACGGATGTAATCAAAAATGTTATTATCAAAACTCTCTAAGTATGTTGAAATTTCAAACTTAATGATATAATTTTAAATTCAGCTATTCAGACTGAGGCATGGTTTTGGGGTGCAGATTGCACTTCCAAATTGTGCATTGAGATGGACCAGAGAGGAGTTTGGAGCAGACTGTAGGTGGTGGATACTGCAGTGGTATGGCTGGAGTCTTCAGCCCTGTGATTTCCAGTGACTGGGCTGACAGCATTAAATTGAGGTGTGGTTTTCTAGATTATGGACTTTGTGGCTGAGCATTTTAAAAAGAGTCCCGTTTCCAAGTTAGCGTTTTTCCTAATTAGTGCGTTTGTTGTGGCTTGTATATAACCAGCATGTAGAAAGTGTACGTGTTCAGAGCTGGTCTGAAACAGCTCTGGGCACAGTGAGCACAAGGAAGCAACACCAGATCTGATGTGCAGCAGCAAAGACTCTACCCAGTCCTAGAGGAGACAGAAAGCTTCCAGCCTTAGACTTGGAATAAGGGAACTGTGAGTAACCTTCACCCTTCTGACCCTTTGTCCTCGAGTGGAGAGGCTGCAGGTTGAGGATGCAGAAGAAGCTCAAGTCCTTCTCTGAGCCAAAGGTGTGAAGCTGTTTATTTTCACTGGGATAATGTATATATTGCAGGAGGCAGATGCTCGCCTGCTTAACCCAAGCACTCACTGCTTATCTGGGCTCTGGCGAGTGTACAAGTGTTGTCCCTTCTAATCCCCCAACATTAAACAGTCCAGGCACCTTTCCCCGGCTGAGCCTGGGACTGCTTTAAAAAACACACAGAGAGAAGCCAACAAGAAAGAAACATTTGCTTTCTTTGCCAAGTTTAAATGAAGACTAATGCCGTGGTGCTGCTTAATCTTGTTTTTCTTGCTATCTGATGGATGCTAACGTGGGATGGAATCAATCCCGGCAGCCGGTTATCTTTGCAGGGCCCCCATGTTGCTGAGCTCGGCATTAAAGTCTCGTGGGGGAGTTGATGTGCTATGAAGAGTCTGGAACTTTCTTCCTATGTGGTGAAGCTCTGGCTATGACATCTTTCTTCCTTGACATCTTTCTTCCTTTGGGAAGGTGTCTCCAGGAATTGCCAGGCTGCTGTTGGACGTCCGAACAGAAATCCTGTTCGGCAGAGCGGGATGTGTCTGAGCGAGTGAGAACAGGGCACAGTCAGGTGAACCTGGCGGAAATTTCTCCCTGGTCCCTGTGATGAAACTTAACTCCTTTCCTATCAGTTGCTCGTGTTTGAACTGGTTCTGCTGGGAGCAGCTGCCATGGCCCTGGTTTGCAGGAGGAGGTTTGGGCTCTGACTCACGACCTGCCACCGTGGGGGTGCTGCCCCGAGTGCCCCCAGCCCTGGGCAGGGGTCCGTGCTGCTGGCAGGGCTGAGCTGGCGGCCACTCGAGCTTGGCTGCAGTGAGTGGAGCAGGAGGGCTGGAGGAGCCAAGCCCTCGGGCCAGAGCTTCATGATGACTGCTGCCTCCCTGCCTTGGATCAACGCTCTCCTTCGCCTCTGCTGGCATGAGGAAGGAGGCGGGAAGCTGCACCGGTGCTGGGTTGTGCAACACCACTGAGCAAAGCCAACCCAAAGCCTCCCTCTCTTTTCCCCTATGTTCCACTACCCCTCTCCTTGCCTGGGAGCCAGGTTGGTTTGTTGTAGCAAACCTGGCCTGAGCAACACAATTTTTTCATTTATTTTTCTGTCGAGCTGCTGCTTTTATCTGGGCTTGAGGCAAAGGGGCTCCTTTTGCTAGGCAATATTGTCAGTTGTGTCAGGATTCCTTCCCTCGAGGTGAAGAAGTGCAGAAGTGTGTGCCTGCCGGAGAGCTCGGACTTCAATTTTGAAACCAGGTTTGGTCTTTTGAGCATGGGGGAAGGGAGGGGAGGAGAGCAGTAAAACTGAATTACTGTAAGGCTGGAGGATGGATTGTGTGAAGGCTTGTTTTAATCGGGGGAGGAAAGGCCGGGGTCTTTCCTGCTCTCTCCCTCAGCTGTCCCTGGTTAGCTGGTTTGCTTTTTAATAAGCATTGTTCTTCCTGGAGCCTGGGTCCAGCAGCAGGGCGTGTTGGCATTGCCTGTGACAGCGTGTGGACAGCTGTAACAAGAGGGGAAGCAGCGACTTGGAGTGCAGGGCAGCACTTTTGTTTAAAAAGCAGAGTCCAAATGGGTCTGTTGCTCCAATGTGTGCACAGTTCCAGCCATCCACAGGCACGGTGAATTCTGAGGTGACTAACGACTGTGCTGTAACACAGGCTTGGCTCTGCAGCTCCAGTGCACCTCCCATATCCTGCAGCCATGAGTTCACAGGCTCCTAATTGCCTATGATGTAAGACAGCAGTAGATGAGGTTGCTATAAATTCTGGCTGCAGGTGTGGATTTAATGGCTGTGCTTCCCTTTAAGGGCTCACGGATAGCATGGATCCCTGCAAGTTACAACAGACCGAGTTGGACTCGGGCTAGCACAGCTAAAAGAACCCATTTGTCTGCGTTTTTTTTTTTAGAGCTGTTTCTTGCTGGAGGCTACTAAAGGACGAGGTGTCAGTCTTCATCTGGAATTGCCTGGGGAATGAGCTTGCTGTCCTCTAACAGAGCTCAGCCATGGTTCCAATTCTTTCCATCAATGTTCTGTCATGGCTAAACTGCCCAGGTGTGAGAGTGCCACTGGCAGTGGACCTTTAGGCAGCCTGTGTGGACACAAGCACCTTTGTCTGAGAGTCTGACAGCTTTTTCTGGTGACCAGAACAAGACTGTGGTTCTAGTCCTCTTTATTTTTTATTCATGCTGGATTCTGGTTTTAGAAACCATAGACAAATTATAATGATGGGTGATGGTCCTTGACATGCAAAATGCAAACTTTTTGGAGGGGAAAAAACACCCCTTGAGGCAGTTACTCCTTGCTGTGGTGTGTGCACCTGTAGCTTGGATAATTAGGATGGTGAGTTCCCTAGTTCCCTTGAGAAAAGGGGCATGGTTCACTTGGAGTTTGGTTTTATATATTTTTCTTCATTTTTGCACACATTCTTGCAGTCCAGGGTTTATTCAGCATACTGGGGTGGTGCTTCATGAGTTGAGCTGAGGCCTCAAGCTGTTCAAGTGTTCTTGGATGTCCATTCTCAGCCCCTCCTTTGGACTGGTGCTCCAGGACTGCATGGGGAGCTGAAACTACTCCCTCATCCAGGTGAAAACTGAACCTCATTTTTTTTTTTTTTCTCTGGCTGAGTTTTTAGCCGGATCTGCCAGCAGATCTGACTCACTTGCTGGCCGCAGGATCCCTGGTGCAGATAGGAGAATGCAAGCCAGGTCCTGAAGGAAGGTGTTGCTGCCCTCCTCGGCAGCAGCCCATCTTTAAATTGGCTGAAAAACTGGTTGCGAAATCTCATTTCTTGCTAAAAACCAGAGCTGCAGAAGTAAAGCAGGCGCCTCTCTCCAAGGCTGAGGCCAGCCCTGAGGAAGGAGGGGAGGGGATGTTGGCCCAAGGAGACATGGCTGAAGGCAGCAGAGCTGTCACAGGTGTCCCTTCAGTGGTATGGCACAGGTGCTGAGCTAAATGTGGAGAAGAAAATGGAAATATGAGGCCAAGTAGAGAGATCAAGACAGGAGAGGTCTGCAAGGGCCTGGAAGAGCAGAGGGTGAGAATTTTGTATGTATTTGGCCTACTGTGATGGAACTGTTAAACTA